CATTTTTATAAACAATGTAAGATTGAAATAAACATAAGGTTGTAATTAAAGAAGTTAAATACCTTATTAAAAAGAATATAAATGATCTACATGTACTGCAATGAAAAACATTCATGACATGCTGTCAGAATCAGATTATAAAGCAAAAAAAAATTGTTTATTACTTGAAGAAAAAGAAGTCTAAAACGATATTCACCAAAATATTGATTCTGGATTGACTGGTGGGATTTTAGGTGACTTAGTTTTTAACTTTTCCACCTGATTTCTAATTTTTTATATAAATCATGTATTACTTATATAATTTTAAAAATGTGAACCTAGAGGAGAAGAATGAAGGTAAAACATATTCCACATGAATGGTATTATTATAAGCGCAATCCCCCCTCATGTTTCTAATATAAATACCTTAAATTATCTTATCAGACCTTGACAATGATAAACAGTCAAAATAAGGAAAGAAAAAAAAAAGCAGTATCTGGAAAGAGCCTTGCAGCACCATCCAGGGTAACCTGACATGAAACTTAGTGTAATAATCTTGCACTATAAAGACAGAATTATGGAGGGTGGGGGTGGGAAACACGACACATGCTATTCATGTTACTGTGAAATCATTTATGTTATTATTCCACACCCCACATCATGAAAGAAATGAATGAATCAAAGGAGACAAAAGAAATTCTGGATTATCAACAATAATGTTAACTGAGAGAAGTAAACAACATTACAAACTAATGGAAACCCTAAGAGTTTATTAAATCAGTAAACTGACCATTTTAGTATTATGAAGATATACAGAGGAAATAGAGCTCTTTTCTTTTTTTTTTTTTTTACCATGTATCATCAGTTTTTTAAAATATCTGAGACTAAATGACAAAAGGTACCTTTCACCCTCTTTGAAGAAGCCAAAAGAAGATGATCTTCAGGTAGGATGTGAGTAATGATACCAATAGCTCTCTCTGCATGAAATCTGCAATACAAGTTAAGATAAATCACAATCTAAAATACTGACAGAAAGTTCTTCAAAACTATCTGTGGTAAAATTTTGAAACTATCAGCCGCTCCATGGGAGAAAGATGAGGCTTTCTGCTCCCATAAAGATTTACAGCCTCGGAAAACCTATACAGGGTCGCTATAAGTGGGAACTGGACTCCCTGGGCACACTATACCACCATCTATCATAGACTGAACTTTTGATAAGGTGGTGCTAGAGTGACACAGTGATACTTTACTCCTACTATAAGAAAGACAATGAGCAGTTACAGTCTTCCTGGTACTGAGGTCTCTAGTTAACCCATCTCTCATTCAAGTCACCAGAAAATCCTGTCAAATGTGCATTCAAGATACATCCAGATTACCAAATTCAATCTGGGTCTCTCACCTGGATAATTGTAATAACCTCCAATTGCCTTTATTTCATCTGTAGCCTATCATTATAGGACAGAGTTAACCTATTAAAAACCAATGGCTTCTCCAAGAAGTGACTGGCTTACAAGCTTTCAAGAGGGAACCTAGAGCCAGGGGGCATGGAGGAAGACAGAATCTCCAGTGAGTACTATCTAATCTGTCTAGGCAGAGCTGATGAAATGAAACGCAGATGGGTCACTTGTGATACAATAGTGAATAATTTTTATCAGGACTGATTGTGAGGGTTGGAAATGTAAAGGTAGACATTTTATAGCAAGGAGGGGAGTGATTAACTTTTCAGTCTAGGAGCGGAGGTCTCT